AATTTTTCTTTCCTTTTTTTTCCCCTTTTGGTCCTTGATTCAGAACTGGCTACTTTTTAAAATTTCTTTTTTATATAGGAGAACAATTATAACAAGAGCTAACATTTATTTATTAAATGCTTATCATGTACCAAGGACACGTCTACTTGTTTTATAGTTAATTCTCAAGTCAATCCTATGAAACAGCATTATGATTTTCATTTTACAGATGTGAAAGTGAGTTTCATTTGCCTCCAAACAGCTAGCACGTGGGGTAGTGACGGATAATTATCTCTTTGCTCTCATATAGGTCTCACAAGTTTTTCTCCCAGTAGCTTATTTTTAAAACACACTTTTATTTTTTGACTAGTCAATAATAGATCTTTTGTCCTAGTGAAACGTTAACCATGGTGGAAAACACTCTCAGGATTTAAGTGTAAGAATTGAGTAAGAAAAATATTAGGAACTTTAATTTTAACATTTAAAAGGTGTAGTTTTCTCCTTTTTTGGTTATTCTTATTCTACTTTGCCATCATTAAATTTATACCAGAGATTTCAAATTTTCTTCATCATTATGGACCTCGCAGGTAGGTGTTATGTCTCAGAGTTCTGGGTTAGGCAACTGCCTTGTAGGAAAGGTAATGTAATAAAATATTATCAGTATCTTCAAACACTTTTCAGGATTTTGTTTTTAGTAAGGAAAATTCAATAAAGAAAAATTACAGGTACTGGAAACACATGTAGTCTAAGCACTTATAAACAGAAGAGAAATAGAGTGATATTTACATTAGTTAAATTTATATACACCTAAGGGAGAGAGGTAGTCACCTGTGAAAGTAAACCAAGAGACTGGCAGTAAACATATGCTTGAAGAGCTTGGGAATGTCCATTCCTGTCAAGGTGAATTGGGCACACGTTTTTTTTCTTTTTGAGACAGGGTCTCACTCTATTGCCCTGGCTGGAGTGCAGTAGTGTGATCATAGCTCACTGCAGCCTCGAACTTCTGGACTTAAGAGATACTCCTGTCTCAGCCTCCCAAGTAGTAGCTGGGACTACATGCGTGCAACATCATGCCTAGCTAATTTTTCTATTTTTTGTAGAAAATGTTGCTCAGGCTGGTCTTGAACTCCTGGCCTCAAGTGATCCTCCTTCCCTTGGCTCCCAGAGTGCCAAGATTACAGGCATGAGCCACTATGCCTGGACAGTTCTTTATTTTTAATTAGTAATCTGGCATTGCTTGAGTTTACTCTTGAGAGATGGAACCACTGTCACTGTACTCTCAAAATTAAAATTTTGAGCTTATAAAGCTCAAGGCACAGCAAATTCACCAGAGGCCTCTTTCTGTGAGGCCTCTTACCCTTAAGTTGTCTAACAGATATACAATAGCACTTCGTATGTACCAAGTGCTATTCTAAGCACTTTATGAACATTAATTTAGTCCTTTCAACAAGGACTGTGAGGTATAGGTACTATTATTACTCATATTTTAAAGATAAGGAAATCGGGGCACGAAGAAGTTAGGCAACTCACCCAAGGTCAGCTACTAAGTGGGAGAGTCTGGATTCGAACTTAGGGAGTCTAGCTCCAGAGTACATACTCCAACTACCACATTATGCTATGTCCCATCAGCCAGTGGATCTGCCCTAGTAACATCTTGACCTCACCAAACACTTTCTCTGTTAAGTCTTTTTTTTTTTTTTTCTTTTCTTTTGAGACAGAGTCTCACTCTGTTGCCCTGGCTAGAGTGAGTGCCGTGGCGTTAGCCTAGCTCACAGCAACCTCAAACTCCTGGGCTCAAGTGATCCTTCTGCCTCAGCCTCCCGAGTAGCTGGGACTACAGGCATGTGCCACCATGCCCGGCTAATTTTTTCTATGTATTTTTAGTTGTCCGATTAATTTCTTTCTATTTTTAGTAGAGACAGGGTCTCGCTCTTGCTCAGGCTGGTTTCGAACTCCTGAGCTCAAACAATCCGCCCGCCTTGGCCTCCCAGAGAGCTAGGATTACAGGCATGAGCCACCGCGCCCAGCCTCTGTTAAGTCTTTTTTAATAGTGTTTAAAATGAGGTTTATTTGGACACTGGAATGGTGAAGGTGGTATTAGAACTGATTATTTCCATTGAATCATGGATGAATTGAGAGTTAAAATCTACTGTCTTGCCTACCCAAAAGGACTTTTTATAAAAATGTTCACATTTCAAATTTCACTTGGAGCAATACTTTGGCTCATTTTTTGACAAGTTTATATCTGAACAAAATAACAATCTGCAGGATGAATGAGATGAAAAATCTGTAGAGTAAATGTGTCTCCGAATTTCTAGTCATTTTGGACTCTGAAACTTTTATGGAAATTACTTAGCCTAAATTAAGTTTCTCACTCTGGCAAATAATTGACCTCAGAAGAATAATTCTGAAAGCTTCCAATTTATGAGTGGGTTAGTTCCACAAGTTAGTATATAAGTCAACTGTTTGTTCTGGCCATTAAAAAGCTGTTTGTAAGCTAAATAACCTTAAAAAAATTAAGTTTGAGTTCAGAAATAAACTTTAATCTCATTTTGGATAGAAAAATTATATCATTTAGTATCTTTTAGAAACTTCTTTGTGTTTATTTTTTTTTTCTGTGAAATGTTAATATCATGTACCTCAAATGTATTTTTTGTCACACCAGCAAGCCCAAAGTACATCATGCCTCCAGTTCTGGAGCTAACACAGATTTCTCCAATTTCATCTGTTTTGCAGAGCTGGGGAGGTCCATCTGGCTTCACAATGCACATCATCCCTAATGTACAGAAAATACAGGTAAGGGACAAATATTCTGGAAAACCTTTGCAAAATAAAAGGTCCATCCTATGAACCTAGCAGAGTTTTTGTATTTACTGAGTGGCATTAAGAATACCAAACTGGAATGCTAAAAACAAACCTGAAACTACATTGGTATATTTGAAATGTAAAGCTCGTAGAGACAGTGACACGCAAAGTCCAAAGAAAGCGGTAAGATTAATTAGGTGTTATCCCTAGGCAGATTAAACTCAAACACTCACAGGAGCAGCATGCTCTAACTTTCTGCCAATTCCAATGGCTTGGCAATTACGGTGAAAACCAGATAACTTTAGTATCACTCAGTATTTGGCATTCCACATGAAGAAGTATACTTAAAGCACTCACAATTAATAAACCATACAAAACTGCTAGGAGGTCAGCATAATTATAACAACTTACCTTTTCCAGAGGTTTTGAGAAATTAAATGACTAAGTGCTGAATTTAGGATTCCTGCTTTGGCTCTCCTATTTTTATTAGGCTCCATTATCTCTGATGACAAATCTTAATGAAAAACCAAATGGTGCTCCTCATAACTCACCACCAGGCATTACATGCCCCACATCCTGGACTGTCAGTGCTGAATTTTTATCTTCAGTATTGACCCGTATCACCCCATAGCTCAATCCATTCATTGAGAGAATGGCTCTTCCTGGCAAAGGGGCCCCTGGAACTCCAGGCCTGAAAAGAAAATAAATGGATCAAATTTTGCAAATTAAATAATATCAAGAGACAAATATGGATATGTAAGAAAACAAACTTCCTCTAGCTAAAATACAAAAATAATCTCCACTTTCTCTACCAAAAATATGTCAAATTAATCAAATTTGAATGTAAAAATCATGGTCAACTTTCAAGCAGGTGGAAATAGTAAATGTTAGTCAGTTAAGAATACATTGGTCTTGAGGATACCATAAATGTACCATCCATACTTAAGCTACCAACAAGAACAGCCTATTTCTAGTCTAAGATGCTAAGGATTCTAAAGTGCAAAATGACACAAAAAAGAGCTAATTTACAAATATGAGATGAGATTAATTAAATTTCCAGTTTACCACAGATACTTTGGGCAAGAGTGGGAAAAATAAATGAGATGCTGCAAACTATTTTACAAAGTAATTTTCACTTTTCTGCTTATGAAGCAGAAAATTAGTTAGCATCCCTTCCGCATCACCAGGTAAATATTACACATTCCATCCAAGCTGTAACACACATCAAGAGCATCTGACATCCTTAATGGTACCTGCGGATTGCTACAGTCATGGCTTCAGCAGACGTAGCACATGGACAGATGGCCTCCGGTTTCAGTCCATGGCTTTGGAACAGACTCAGGAAGGCATCACAGGATGACACAGACCCTAAGGAGTTGGAACAGATCAACCTAAAGCTGAAATTGTGATTTTCATTACCGCAGGAAAACACCAAAGAATGGACAGCGAACATATCTGTTTCTCATGAGAACTCATATTGTATATTGTTAATTCCATACAAATGTTTTACTGTGCCTGTGAGGTGGTTTGATACATTCCAAGGACAAATTAATGCTCATCCAGCCCACAAAAGGTCACTGACACTATTTAAAGTTACAACCTGGAATAGGGCTGTTCCTACCAAACTGACAAATCAGTATCAGAGATAACACTGCAGGCAATATGCAGCCAGTTTATAACTTAGCAAGTCTTCCTGAAGAACTATTACAGCCAATGCAATATAGTATTGGCTTAGTTCCACCTTCTTCTATGTGATATTCTCCGACTTTTTTCTTATTAAGGTCTATCTCATGTCTGTGCTTTAAACCAGGGAGATCAACATGACCACTGACAAAAATCCATTTATGACAAAGACCATAGTATCTAATGCTTTACCTGATTTTATTGCGTGAAGGATCAGGATTTTTGTGCTTGTAGGAAAAAGCAGGTACCACAGTAATATCTCTGAAAGATTTTGCAAACTCTTTGGATTTTCTGCTAGGGAGAATTTACATAAAGTCCAGAGAACTGTTTACATTAAGGCACCCTTACACTGCTGCTTTAAGGAATACCCACACTTACATGATAGAAAGAGGAGACAAATGAGTGAGCAAAAAGAGTGGTTTAAAAACTTATAGATTCATCAGAAGATGAACAAATAAAATGTGGCTTATCTATATAATGGAATATTATTTGGCAATAAAATGGAATAAAGTACTGACAGATGTTACAACATGGATGAACCTAGAAAACGTTATGCTAACTGAAAGAAGCCCATCACAAAGGACCGCATACTGTACGATCGCATTTAGACGCAACGTTCAGGACAGGCAAATCTAGAGAGACAGAGGGTAGATTAGCAGTTGCCGAGGGCTGGGGCAGTGGGGAGAAATGGGGAGTGACAGATTTCTTTTGGGGGTAAGAAAAATGTTCTAAACTTAGATCATGGTGATTATTGCATAACTCTGTGAATATACCAAAACCAATTAATTGTACACTTTAAATGGGTGAGTTTTACAGTATGTGAATTATATTTCCATACAGATGTTTTTTAAAAAGCTTACAGAAAGAGAGAAAAAAAAACCTTATCTACCAAAGGAAAGGATATTCCCAGACCCACACTGCAGAAATACTCACAGGGATTAGCTCCATCAGTCACAATTAACATTCGGAGGGAGCTCAAGCTCACGTCCCTTTGGTCCCGATGTGCCATCATAGCCCAGTGCAAATCTCGACATTTTACTAAAGCTACCTTGGCTATAAATTCAAAACGGATGAAGTTAACAGACACATACACACTACATCTAGTATACATTTAATATACTATAATAAAAACATTTTTACTTATTTTGGGAATCATGATTTTTACTTGGAGAAAATAAAAACGGTTTCAAAGAGATTGTGCCAGTAGCTCACAAACAGAAAGCACCATATTTAGACGACTGACTGGATCCACAATTGTTTATTCACTGTGACCTCTAGGCAGGCCCCAGTATCCCAACCAAGGAAATTTTAAACACCACAGCACTCATATCTAATTCAAGGCTCAGATTTGGGAGAATTCATCTCAATTCTTAACTAAGGACATCAGCAAGATGAAATAGACAATATACCTGATTCTGTAGTAATTGAACTCTAAATTTTTTTTTTTTTGAGACAGAGTCTCACTCTGTTGCCTGGGCTAGAGTGCCGTGGCGTCATTCTAGCTCACAGCAACCTCAAACTCCTGGGCTC